TTAGGAAGCATCCTAGCTCCTCCATTTCTGGTTTTAACTTACTGCTCAAGGAGTTTAAGTTACACCCATTTCATTTCTTGCTTGTGTTTGTACTTTTCCACGCCCCCCGCCCCCCCACCCCATTCTGACAACCATCAACCTGCTCTCTAGGGGTCTCTCTCTCTTTGTTTATTCACTTCCTTTTTTTTTCCCTTAAGATTCCACATATAAGTGATATCATACAGTGTATTTGCCTTTCTTGGTCTTATTTCACTTAGCATAATACCCTCTAGGTCCACCTGTGCTGTCGTAAACGGCAGGACTACGCTCTTCTTCATGGATGAACACTATTCCATTCTATGCACACACCACATCTTCTTTATTCCCTCATCTGCTGACTGGACATCTAACTTGCTTCCACATCTTGGCTAAACACTAGTAATGCAACGATCGTTCGTTACGGGTACACGCATCTTTTTGAATTAGTCATTTTGTTGTCTTCAGATAAACACCCAGAAGTGGAACTGCTGGGTCATATGACATCTCTATTTTTAATTTTCTGAGGAATCTCAATACCACTTTCCATAGTGGCTGCACTAATTTACGATCCTACCAAGAGTGTATGAGGGTTCCTTTTTCTCCACATCCTCTCCAACACGTTATTTTTTTGATTTATTAATGAAAGCCATTCTGACAGGTATAAGGTAACAACTTACTGTGGTTTTAATTTGCATTTCCCTAATGATTAGCGATGTAGAGCATGTTTTGAAACATCTGCATGAAATGTCTGTATGCCATCTGTACATCCTCTTTAGAGAAATGTCTATTCAGGTCCTCTGCCCATTTTTTAACTGGTTTTTTTTTGGTGTTACATTGCATGAGTTCCTTATATATTTCAGATATTAACCCCTTATCAGATGTATCATCTGTGAATATCTTGCCACATATCATAGGCTGTCTTTTCATTTTGTTGACGGGTTGACTTTGCTGTGCAAAATCTTTTAGTTTGAAGTAGTCCCATTTGTTTATTTTTGCTTTTGTTGCCCTTGCCTGGGAAGATATCCAAAAAGATACTGCCAAGAGCAATGTCAAAGTATTTACTGCCTATGTTTTCCCTTAAGAGTTTTATGGTTTCTGGTCTTGCATTTAAATCTTAAATCCACATTGAGTTTATTTTTGTATATGGGGTAAGAAAGTGGTCCCATTTAATTTTTTTTTTTTTTTTTGCATGTATCTGTATAGTTTTCCCGGTACCACATCCTGAAGAGACTATCTTTGCACCATGGTGTAGCCTTGCCTCCACTGATCTATGTATCAGGGAGCATGATTGATACCTTACACTCTGTTCTTACTTAAGATTTCTTCAGCTATTTGGGGCCTGTTGTGGTTCCATATACATTTTAAGATTAGTTGTTCTAATTCAGGGAAGAACATCATTGGTATTTTAATACGGATTGCATTTAATCTGTATACTGCATTAGGTAGTAAGGATATTTTAACAATATTAATTCTTTCACTCAGAGAACAAGGTATATCCTTTAATTTATTTGTATCTTTTTCAATCTCTTTCTTCACTGTCTTATAAATTTCACATTACAGGTCTTTCTCACCTCTTTGTTTAAGTTTATTCCTAGGTATTGCATGCTTTTTGAGGCAATTGTAAATAGGACTGTTTTCTGAATTCTCCTTCTGGTTGTTCATTATTGGTATACTGGAATACAACCGATTTCTGAATATTGATTCTGTAACCTGCAACATTATTGAATTCATTTATTAGTTCTAAAATAGTTTTTGGTCAAGTCTTTAGGGTTTTCTATATATAGCATTATGTCATCTGCAAATAATGAAGAGTTCTTCCTTTCCAATTTGGATGCATTTTTTCTTTTCTTCTCTGACTGCTAGGGCTAGGATTTCCAATACTATGTTGAATGGAAGTGGTGCACGTGGACATCCTTGTCTCGTTCCTAATCTTAAAGGCTAAGATTTCAGCGTTTCACCGAGTATAGTATAAGCTGTGGGTTTCTCATAAATAACCTTAATTGGTTGAGATATGTTACTATAGTATCTCCTTTGTTGTTGAGATGTTTTTTTCCCTCATAAAAGAACGTTGAATTTTGTCAAATGGTATTTCTGGATCTATTGAGATGGTCATATGGTTTCACCCTTATTTTGTTACTGTGGTGTATCACACTGATTTACAAATGTGGAACCATCTTTGCATCCCTGGGGCAAATTCCACTGTTCATGGTGTGCAGTCTTTTTGTTGTATTGTTAAATCTGATTTACTAGTACTTGGATGAGAATTTTTGTATCTATGTTCATCAAGGATATTGGCCTGTGAATTTTTTTTTCAATTTCTTTGTCTGGTTTTGGTATCAGGGTAATGCTGGCTTTGTAGAATGAGTTTAGAAGTGTTCCTTCCTCTTCAATATTTTGAAATAGTTTAAGAAGGACAGGCATTAATTCTTCTTTGAATGTTTGGGAGAATTTACCTATGAAGTCATCTGGTACTGAACTTTAATTTGTTGGGAGTTTTTGATTATTGCTTCCATTTTATTGCTAGTAATCTGTCTGTTTAGAATTTCTATTTCTTCCCGGTTCAGTCTTGGAAGGTTATATGCTTCTAGAAATTTATCTATTTTTTTCTGGCTCATCACATTTGTTTGCATGTAATTGTTTGTAGTACTCTTCAATGGTCCTTTGTAGTTCTGTATTACAATTTATAACTTCTCCTTCATTTATAATTTTATTTATTTAGTTGCTCTTTTTTTTCTTAATGAGTTTGGCTAAAGTTCTGTCAATATGTTTATTTAGTCAAAGACCAAGTTTTATTAATCTTCTCTATTGTTTTTCAAATTTCTATTTCATTTATTTCCACTTTGATCTTAACTATTTCCTTCCTTCTGTTTATTTTGGGTTTTGTTTATTCTTCTCTTTCTAGTTCCTTTAGGTACAGGGTTAGATTGTTTATTTGGGATTTTTCTTGTTTCTTGCGGTTGGCCTGTGAATTTCCCTCACAGAACTGCTCTCATTGTATTCCATAAATTTTGAAAAGTTTTGTTTTCGTTTTCATTTGTTTCAAGACAGTTTTTGATTTTCTTTTCGATCTATTGGTTGTTCAGTAGCATGTTGCCTAGTCCCCATGTATTTGTCTTTTTGCCAGTTTTCTTCCTGTGGTTGATTTCTAGTTTCATGCCATTGTGGTTGGAAAAGATGTTAATATGATTTCAATATTCTTGGATTTATTGGGGCTTCTTTTGTGTCCTACTATGTGATCTATACTAAAAACATTCCATGTGTACATGAAAAAAAAATGTACTCCAAAGTTTTTGAATGAAATGCTCTAAAAAAGCCTAAGTCTACCTGGTCTACTATGGCATTTAAGACCTTTATTTCCCAATTAATTTTCCGTCTGGTTGATCTACACCCACTGATGTGAGTAGGTATTAAAATCACTTACTATTATTTGATTACTATGGAATCCTCCCTTTATGCCCATTAATGATTGCTTTGTAAGTCACACCCATTTTAAAGCTAAGCAAAGAAGCAAACAACAAAATAAGCACAAAAGCACGTGAATCATACCATGTTCTCTAAACGGAAAATGCTATTAAAATCTAGGCAACTGTTGTAATTTATTCCACAGATGAATAGTTAGCTTATTATTACCAATTTTCACTAATACAGATAACCCAGAGCTTCATAGCGTATGTCATTAGAACAATAAATTACACATAAGGTCAAACAGAGGTATGAAATGTGATTAGCATTATATATCTGGAGCAGGTGACTAAGCTTTCAAGACAATCAAGCTGCTGGTACAAGCGGCATGAAGGTTACACACCTGGCTCCCAGGCAGGCCTGAGTGTCAGGCCCTGAGGATCGAGGACACCGAGCTCACTGGCTAGGCTGCCCTCTCCGCACCGCCTGTGCTGGTGCCCAGTACTGCTACAGAGAGCTGTTCGCTGGGCGTTTGACAAGGGACAGGCGGCTTTCAGACCGCTCCCGTTTCTGTGAGGCGGGCCAGGTGGGTGGGCCCCTGGCAGATGCCACACCGCCCAGTCAACACAGCCTGCCTGAGGATGGAACAGGGACAGGGAACAGAGCTGAGACGTGGGAAGGGAGAGAAATATTCCATGAGAGCTAGCTAGATCCAGCCTAACAGAAAACAGGTACATACCTGCACCTTTCCCTTATGAGACTCAATACATTCACATTTCTGCTCAGGCCAACATGAGCTGGGTTTCTATCGCTTGCAGCCAAGAGCCCCGAGTGGCATGCAGAAGCCCACTGCGTTGCTGACTGCACCAGCCAACGCTCCGCCCACACCAGCTCCTGCACAGGATACGGGGAGCACAGGGAAGCGCGACTTTGGAGGCCGGCTTTCAATCCCTGCATGATCACTTACTAACCAAAGGACCTTGGAGGAGACAGCTAATACGTATGAGCCATAGTCTGAGCCCCAGATGGGGATATCATCTAAATTATAGGCTGATTTGGGAGTTAAATTGGATATGTTTTTACAAAGCGGTTAGAGTCTGGCACCTAATATTCAATAAGTGGTAGTAATACTCCTGCCTTTTGTCCTGACAGGGCGCTTAGTGGGAGAACATATGTGAAACATCTACTACAATCCCTGATACAGGTCAGGTACTCAATAAATGTTGGCTCTCTTTGCAATGAGAATGATTAGGGACTGATAATCACGTCATCTTATATGGCTAACATTTTTCCCCCTACAGAAAAATAATGAAAAAGAGCACAGACCGACGCCGATCTCCGTCACCCCCACTTTCTCAGGAATCTGAGCAGGAGGAAGACAGGTGCCCCCAAATGCACGGTTGGAGGTGCTGAGGGAGCTGGGCCCATTTTGGGCACCTGCCCAGTGAGAGACCTCGAGAGGAGTGTAAGGGTTCCGCATTCTGCAAGGGGCAGGGTGGCCGCAGCCCACCCACTCCTGATGGACCCCCCTCAGCGGAACCGCTCAGTGGCGCGTGACAGGGCCAGAGCGCTGCACTCACCGTGCTGGGGACGTAGGGCAGGCCGTAAAGCCTCTCCTGGGTCTCCTGGAGGAGGGCCGTCGTGGACTTGCTCAGCGGGTGCTGCCCGTGGTAGACCTGGTCCAGTGCGGCGTAGAAGACCTAGAGGAGAGCAGACACAGGAGCCCCTGTGTGGTCTGGGCGGCCCGCCCTCTCAGCTGTGGCGGGTTCCTCCCAACAGGGCCTGGTGTTCCAGAGTGACAACTTTAAATCGTAGCTGAAGGCGTCCACTAATACAGAGATGCGTGGCTTGAGGTGTTCTGTTCGACATTTAAGACTATGCCGCTGATGAAAAGGAAAGCTCAGAAGCTTTCACGCTTAAAGATATTAAAGAATTTTGAACCTTACCTGTAAGGCACTCTTTACATACAATGTAGCCAGTTAAATTTGTGACTACAAAATGAAATTTTGCTTCTCTCTAGATAGGCAATAAATATGTCTGGAAATATTAAAAAATTTTTTAAAAAGTTACAACTGTGAGCCCAGAACCTAACAAATCCTGTTTGGTTTATTCCTGAAATCCTGTATATCTTAAATGAGAGACATGAAATCGTCAGAATCCTAGTTTTATAAGGGGAGGTGGGCGAAGATAAATAGGTGGGGTAGGGTGGAGAAAGGAACAGCCATCTGTGCCTGGTGAAGAGATGTTACCAAAAATCCTGGTGCAGCTGCTGGAGAGCCTGGAGCTCGTGCCAGGGGCACAAAGAAGCGGCTGCTGCGCTGGCGGCTCTGGCCTGAGGCGGCGACCGGGAGGGAGGGACCGCCTGCCGCTGAGTGCAGAGGACAGGCCATGGGAACACACCAGGCGGGGAGGGCACTGGGAAAAGTGTAACCGGGAAATCTGCCGCTTACATGGCGCTGAAAACTAAGTTTTGCATAAAATGTAAAGATAAAATGCTTTTTGAATTGACTATTAGCACTGTTTGGAGTTCCCCTGAAATAAGAAGGTAGAAAACACTTTGTTTTAAAGGGAAAATTCTGATATGCAATTCTGGTTCTGATATGTACCTTTCTGACTCAAAAGTGGAATTTGCAGAGAATGCGCAGCTGTTGACTTGAAAGAACTGAGGATTAGTTTGGATAAAAGAAAAAATGTAAATGACTTCTAGCTTCTGGCTTCATCTAGATATAGAATTATGGTTCTAAATTATAAAGTCAAGTTTAAACCTTCCCAAGAAAAATACAGACATTTCCTAAATATAAATATTGCTTTACTCTAACTGGTAATCTAAACATATAGCTAAATATAACTCTTTCAATTCTATATTCTATAATGAATAACAATGCATAAAGATAATCAGAGAAGCCAAAATTACTCATCCTTGTCTTGTCTGTATTCTAACAGAATAAATTATTATGAATTAAAACTCTTAAATTCTAACCTCAACGGAGATGGGTATTTTTTTTTTTTGGCCACAATCTATAAACAAATAAAAATTCAAGAGTTTCATTCTTCTGGTTCCACATTTTACATACACACCAAAGAGGCATAAGCATGGACGACTTTTATTTTTAAATTATAAAATCAGAGCAAAATAAATAAAATGCGTGTATTTCATCCTCACTTGCTGAGAAAACAATTCGAAAGTGATGAGCCTATTTGCTTGGCCAGGGAGTCACGTATGTCTGGGACCAAGATCCTGAGAGCCACAGAAAAGAGCGAGCCTATTTTTAAAACAATGCACTGGAAAAAAAAAAAAAATCAATCCCAAATTCTAACGCGCTGTGCGTGCCCCCACAGAGGCCTGAGACGATCCCTTCCCTTCCTGCCCCTGCGCCTCCGCAGCACGGGGCGGAGGGGGGCGGGGCGGGGGTGCACTGCGTGTCAGGGAGGCGGGCCCGCGGCTCCTGCGCCAGGAGGTGGGAGCATCTCTGTCTCTCTTTCCCTCTCTCCCCTCTCTCGGGGGGGTTATTCTGTTTTGGAGAGTAGGAGGCGTGAAAGGTTGGTTTTCCAGTTTAAAAGAGTATCATTGAAACGATTGTTCAAAATAAAAGGCTTTTAATCTAAGACTTCTACTATATGATCAGCAAATGGAAAGACTTTTTCCAAGTAATGCTAATTTTTTCAAATAACACAGAAATTCATTTTTAATTGTACTGATGTAAACAGACGGTAAATAATCCAAATCAAGTGGAAAGCATGATTTTGTCTGCAGTTGGCATTTTCTTCACTGAAATATGTCTTAAGGCGCAACAAAAACTAGAGCTCATTCACTGCTTTCTAGGACCTGCATTCTACAAAACTATGAAGGTATTAAGGAGTGGCTACACTTTTAAATAGGGAAGTGGATCTTTATGAAGTGACTATTTTGAGATGCTTGCGATGACAGACAGACGTGTGGGCCGTGTTTCTGGAACGCTCAGGCTCTGATGAGGAGCAAGGCCTCCACGGCCAGCCCGGCAGCTGCACCCCAGGTGCTTCACAAGGCTTCTACCTGGAGACCCAGAAACCTGGGTCTGGGTATCATCAAACACTAACAGTCACTACGCTTGAAACCTCACATCTAAAACCACAAAATTTTTAAAAAGATAGAAAGTGGATACTACATAAATCAGTGGCTAAAATATATGATTTAGAAAAAAATCATGCAACTTTTGCAAGCTTTGATTTTCCAGACTGAATACAGAAAATAACCTTATTTAACATCGACTTCATAAGGAAAGTGTGAGGATTAAATGAGTCAATTTTGGTCAAGTTCTTTGAACTCAGATGAAAGATGTTTTAGAAGCATAATTATTATAATAAATGTGTAGCACTGGCAAGAATTTAAAGTTATATGTGTATTTTGAAAAATGACTGTGGAAACCTTCAGAACAAAGGCACACACGTACCTGAAGCTGCATGTCGGCTGCGGCACAGACCTTCTTAGATTCACAGAGACGAGACACCATGTTTTTGGGCATCGACTTGAAAGACAAAAGAATATGTCTGTCAGTAAATTGCTTAATAAGTTGCTGCACTATGTTACTTATGAGGCAGGAAAGTTCAAAACGACATCAAATGAAAAAAGAATAGCATTTCTTTGTGGTTTAAAATAACAACTCTGAAATATTTTAGCTGACAAGGTAACAAAGGATGAAGACAGTCCATTTAATTTCAGAAAGTGGTCATGGTCTCATAGGGTCTTCTACATGACAATGCAGGGTTGCAGGAAACTTAGATATTCTTTAAGAATTTACAACCTTAGTACAAGTGAATAGCTTTTCTGCTCCTTTGTGAGCAGTGAAAGCCCATTCACGTGCTCTGCTGACTCCTAAGTGCTTCGACCGTACCATCCCCAAGTTCACTTCCTGGAAGCCGTCTCGGGCCACTGGAGGACTGAGAGCTCGTTCTGCCTTCAACCGGCACCGGCCTGAACCTGAAATGCCCGTTGCGATGTTTCCCCGGAGTGTGAAAGAACGGTTCTGCAGCCACACGAACCGAGTTGGACTCCTAGCTATGCCACTTGGCAGCAGAGTGGCATGATGTGGCAATTCACTCAATTTCTCTCAGTCAATTTTTCCTCATTTGCAAAATGTCAACATTATCTTCACATAATTAGATGAAAATTAAACAAGGTGATATATTTGGAAAAATATACTGTGTCAGGTTTAACAGAGGGTCGTTACTGCATAAATGGTAGCTACTATTATAATTGTCTGGCATAATATAATAATCATTGACTTTAACAAACTTTATTTACATTTTATATTTTATCTACATATTCTGTAAATGTGGTCTGTTTTAAATTTATAAATCCTTAGGAGACAGGAGTTATAACACCTGTAGCACCTACCAATCAAGTTCTTAATAGGGAAATGCACTTTGAAGGTTTCCTGTTACATCTCTTTTCATTTATAAAATAGCCAAAAATGCTCAATGAAACACATATTCCTCTTCAAATGACCTAGCCTCTTCTAAGGATACATTCTCCAACAAAGCGGTTAAGGTTTTTGGAAGAACAATGAAATCAGCTAATGTGTTAGTAGTCTATCAGCTATATGTCCATATCTGATGCCAAATTTGGCCACTAATGCACGCTTTGAAAATATTTTACTCTCACTTTAAGTAGAACTGGTTATCAAACAGTGAGTTAGTTCTTCGTCTGCAGGATCCAATTCATATTTAGAGAAGACTGGTGCTAATTAGAAAACGCCCCCCTTCTGATACTCGAATTCACGGTGTCGCAGGCTACGGCTCTGGGCACCTCAGACGCCCACAGTCTCTGATGAGAAGTCTGCTGTTCCAGGTTTTCCCCCCTCAGTCTGTCCTCAAGGCTTTCTCTGTACCTCTGGCTTCCAGCAGCAGTTTAACTATATGTTTCTAGGTATGTTCGCTGTATTCATCATCATGCTTGGGGTTCTCTAAGTTTCTTGGCTCTATGGTTTGATTTTCATTATCTGGGCAAATTCTCAGCCATTAGCCCTTAAAATATTTTGTCTGCTTTGCCATCTCTCTCTTCTCCTTTATGGAACTCCACCTGCATGTATGTTACACTGTTTGATATTGTCCCAAAGTGCTTGGATGCTCTATTTTGTCCCTCCCATTTGCATTTTAGTGTGGTTAATTTCTGATAACCTGTCTTTAAGTTCACAGAGCTGTGAACTCGTTTCCTCAGCTGTGTCAAGTTCCTGATGAGCCCCGCAAAGGAACGCCTCCTGTGTTACCTATAGTTTTACCTCTTGCATTCCCGTTTGAGTACCTCCCAGTTTCCATCTCTCCTCCCCATCTTTTCATACACGTGGTCCACCTTTTCCAAGGTATCCTTTAACAGCCATTTAAATCCTGCCTGATAGTTAAAGTTCTTCTACTCATTAGTTCTCTTGAAGTCTCCAGGCCTTTTAGCGGGGAGGCGGGGCTCTGTGCCCTTCCCGGGCGGCTGCTAAGCACCTCCCCGCCTGCTCCCCCAGCTGTTCGGCTGTTCGGAGCGCCCGGCGAGCAGTGAGGGCACAGAGCCTCCGGGTGAAGGCCCGCGGCCGTCCCACGGCCCTCGGCTCTTCCAGATGAGCAGTGGGTCTGCAGGGGCCTCCGACACGTCGTGACAGGGTCACCTGACCTGTCCTCGCCGCTCTGCGGTGGCCTGCCCTTTCACCCACACCTGGGCGCCAGCGAGCCAGTCCTGGCATTTCGGTGATTCAATGGCCCTGTGACCCGGGCTCTCTGACAAGCTTGAGAGAAGCTGGGACTTGTCTGTCTTTCTCCTGGACTTGGCTCAGGAGCTGCATCCTCGCCAGCTTTCCACACCCCCAGCATTTTGGACTTTCGCCACTCAGGCCCTTTGTCTGGCTTCCACAGGAGAAAGGGGCAGCAGAGCTCTCTGCACAGGGGGAACTCTCCGCGGAGTTGGGAATCAGGCGTCATTCAAAGTTGTCATGAGGAAGCCTGCCGTGCGGCGTGCGTGATGAGGCGGTTTACTTGGATGCTGTCGGGCAGACCTCTGCGAGTGTCTGTGGGTTTTGGTCAAAAGACAGTTCACTCAACAAACATTTATTGACTGTCAGTGATGTGACAGGCACAGCTGATCCATCAATGAACAAAGTAGATGAAAAAAATCCCAGTTTTCAAGGAAGTTACATTCTAGGAGACCTTTCTACTTTCTTAAGATTACCACTGAGAAGAAAAGAGACACGTTTCGTCACTGCACTTCCTGTTGGCTTAAGGAGTAAAAGGGCAGAGATTCACGGCACCGGCTCTTTCACGCTGATCAAGAGGCTCCACTGAGCTAATTACAGCGTGGGCTGCACGTGCAATCTTTATCCATGGGAAGTTCATTTGTGAGTTTTTCTGCGTCTTAGTATAAGCAGGTAGTCAACAGTGAATGAGGTTTTGCAATGCATGTGATTCATGTTCATATGCTTCTGAAGGAAATTAAATAATAAAACACACAAATGAAATATCTCAATCAATATATGCTGAAAGCACCAACCAATTACTCCTCCACTCATTCCATAAATTCCTGGTAGAAGGCACCCTTCTAGGTACCATGGGAAAAAGAGGGACAAAGCACCGCCTACTGTGTGTGGCCACGAGGGTCACAGCTCTGACACCCGCCTCCTGGGGTGGGGGCGTCCCCCCGCCTCTGGGGGGACGTCGCTGCACAACCTCAGGTTCCGGAACCGTCCAAGCTCGATGCTGCCGCTACGATATCCTACCGCTTGACGGTAAAAGTGACCCTCTGCAAATTTAGGTTCATTAATACGCCACAAGTTTCTCCCAAAAAGGGATTAGGAATGGTAACAACACCTTCAGTCAATAGTAATGTCAAATACCTGTATTTCATATGTAATTCATCTATAATTAATAGAGGGGGATGTTTGGGGAAGGGGGAATGATGGGGGGGATAGAGCGTGAGGTCAGAATTGCGGTTAAGTGCATAAGCACACGTGCCTTACAGGTCTGCTCCATGGGCACATCTGGGCCATACAGTTAGCTCCAGCAGAGAGGAAGGCAACAGCGGGCCTCATTCCAGCTGCTCGGACTACCCCGGGTCCCTTCTACTCCCGCCTGAGTGCCTTTTACTAGAACGTCTGCAGTTCTTTGGGTCTCCCTGGAAGCCTGCCGGGCCATGCGGGCTGGAGCAGCCCCGGTCTGACAGCCTCTGCTGGCGGACTCCTGGGCGCTGGGAGGGGGCCCTGCTGGGCGTGGGGGGTGGGGGGAAGGCGGAGCAATGAACGCAGGTTGGTCCACCAGGAGACCCAGCTGTCTCACCTTTGCCAAGCGTCACGCTGTGTGCATGGCGCCCTCCTAAGCAGTGACGAATCCTTCTTGATCTTGCTGACCAGGAAGGAGAAAAGGGTTGCACGTAGAAATTAATACTCCAAGGGAAAATGACCCAAATACCGCACAGGAGGCGCAGAGGCAGCAATGGCGGCCTTTAGAAGACAACAAGCACCTGAAAGGCCATTGCCCTAATCATCAAATGTGCTTATCACAGTGCTGGCATTTCTGCTTCAAAGATTCACCCCAGCTATACAATGTAGAAAGACGCTTTGGGATCCCTCTCTCTCCCATGAACAGGACAATGCCGGAGCTGTTGTTTCTACCATTGACCATGATACGCCAATAATTAACTATGGCGACCTAATTTGACATGATTCATTTTAATAATTCAATATAAATGTTCCACAATGACTTTGTTCTTTATTTAAAAACAAATACACTTGCATCCATTTCTGAGGATTTACTATCTGGCTTTGTATGACTATGACCAGGTAGCCTTTCTGCAGAAAATGCTGAGTGCCCTGTACACTACAGAGACCTGACTCAGGCCTCAGAGCACAGCAGTGGGCCACACCGCCCGCTCCACGGCTCTGCTCCGTGTGGGGCAGCAGCTCTTGTTTCTAGGATTTAGTTCTTCATTCATCCTATATCCACTGATACATCCGATGGTTTCCATTTCCATTTCTGGAGCCCCAACCAGACTCACCTACGTGTCTGAGGTTCAGCAGCTCGCGTTGTCTACTGGCGCTCACTCGCCTTTTGTCAGCAGGCAAGTCTCTCAGTATCGTGTTTTCAAAATTGTAAGAAGAGGAGTAAGAAAAGACCATAAAGGGGTAAGAAGTACGAAGCTTCAATGCGGTGACAGTTATTCAATCGACGTGTAAAAAGCGGGAGCGAACTGGGAGACACTCACATCCCTGCGTCTAACACACCTGACGTGGCAAAGGCTCACAGCGAGGGCAGCCACGCATGCGGCGCGCCTGGCGGGGTCAGGCGAGGCCTGCTGCCGTGGTGAGGTTGCTAAGGGCGCCCTCTTCCTTCTTAGAAATGCGTCAGCTTGAACGATGGCTACCACCATTGCCTGCATCACGGCTGACGTGCTCAAAGGTTGCCTGAGTCAAACCCGGCTGGCGGCCCCGGGCCCGGGACGCTTCCGCAGCTGAGGAGGAGGCTGTGCGCTGCATCCTCGAGGTGACTACAAGTGCTG